TCATTTCCATCTGAGACTTCATCAGCCTGGCCTTCACTCCCCATATTTCTATCAGGATTTTGGTCAAAATCACTTAACAGGTCTCTAAGAAATACCAAACTTTCCTTCATCTTCCTGTCTTCTCCTGGTCCTCCAAACTCCCAATCTCTGCCTGTTACCTGTTGCCAAAGCTGCTTCCACATCTTAAAGTATCTTTATAGTAATGCCCCACTCCCAGTACCATTTTTGTGTGTTCATCCATTTGCATCACTATAAAGGAATTCCTGGGGCTGGGTAACTTACAAAGAAAATACGTTTAATTGGCTCATGGCTCTGCAGCTTGTACAGGGAGTGTGGTGCCAGCATCTGCTTCTGGTGAGGTCTCAGGAAGCTTACCGTCAGGGCAGAAGGAAAAGGGGGACTAGGTATGTCACATGGTGAAAGAAGGAGCAAGAGAGAGAAAAGGGAGATCCTACACTCTCAAGCAACCAGATCGTGTGTGAACCAACTTGAGTAAGAGCTCACTTATCACCAAGGGGATGGCACTGAGCCATTTATAAGGGATCTGCACCCATGATCCAGTACCTCCACTAGGCCTTACCTCCAACACTGGGGATCATATTTCAACATGAGATTTGGAAGGGACACACATCTAAACCATATCACTAGGTATCAGGGACATACAAGTGAGGAGAGAGAAGGATGTCTTGGTCAAATATGTTGGGGGGACTGCTGGATTACACAAAGTTAAATGCCACTGGGCAGGGCTTCTCCAAGCATTTTACTTGCTGATGTGTGCACTGGACCAGGCAATTAGCATGCACCCTGCTCGGGTCAAAGGGACACATCCTGAGCAGTGCTATTTTAGAGGCACTGTGTACAGTGGTAGGAAACGCCAGCAGACCTGAGCTAATTTCAGCTCCATCACCCCCTGGTATGTAACCTCGGGCAGTTAATTCTCTGCTAGGAGACTCAGTTTCTTCATCTATAAATGGGAAAAATCCCATCCCCATCTCACAAAATATTCAATGTGCCTAACAGAGTACCTCGTACATAGTTAAGTACTCAAAAGTGGTAGCTCCCTCCCTGTTTTCTTTCCTGTCTGTGATCCTTTAGGAGATAGTTTTCTCCCCTTCCAGTGACTCTTGCTTCTTTTTTTTTTTTTTTTCTGGAGACGGAGTCTCACTCTGTCACCCAGGCTGGAGTGCAGTGGTATGGTCTTGGCTCACCTCCCAGGTTCAAGTAGTTCTCCCCCTTCAGCCTCCTTAGAAGCTGGGATTACAGGCATGTGCCACCACACCTGGCTAATTTTTTTATTTTTAGTAGAGGCAGGGTTTCACTATGTTGGCCAGGCTGGTCTCAAACTTCTGACCTCAGGATCCACCTGCCTCAGCCTCCCAAAGTGCTGAGATTATAGTGTGAGCCACTGCGCACCCAGCCTAGTGATTCCGAATGTCCAACTCAGTGCTTGGTTTTCATGCTGTCAAAGGAGTCTGGGACAAGACAGTGTCTCAGGATTACTACCATCTCTTAAGTACGTCCTACTCCAGATCCCATTCTCCTGCTGATACACAGACACTCGCTCACCCACTTCCCTGGAAAAAAGCAAATAGTTCAGGACCTCTCAAAGCACCCATGTCCTTTGGACTTAGCCAAATGCCTGGGCTATCGCAGATGTTCAGTAAATAAGAAAGAACGAATGAACAAATGAGTGAATGAGTGAATGAACAAATGAATGAATGCTGAACTCGTATTTTTTGATGCTTCCATTTTCCAAGCAGCACCCCAGATGCTTTTCTAGCTTACGTTTCCTGGAGAATCCCCTTACCCATTCAGCAAAGTTGTTATTTTTATACCTGATTTACGAAGCAGAAAACAGGTTCAAAGATGGGTATGGATCTGGCCAAGTTCAAACAGATCACAAATTTCAGAGCTGGACTTCCAGACTGGTTTTCTCACTCCTAACCCATTAAACAACATTCACCTTCCAATATCCACTTTTAAGCATCCATAATAACCCAGTGTTGTGCAGGTATAAGGCTAAAGCTAGGATTTGTACTTGTATCTGTCTAATTCCAGTACTTCCTGTTGTCAACGCAGACATGCCCCAAGGGCCTTGGGGATTACGGGTCAGGAACTCCAGGCTGGGACCTCTCACTGTGAAGAATCCTTCTGCAGCTACTGCCTATCTGTCCCTTCCACAGCACATACCTCTCCCTCCTCCTGAACTCTTGGGTGCTGGCAAGTTATCTCTGAGTGGGTTTGTGCCTGAGTTTAACAATGCCCCACTAGACTGGAAACAAGACCGCAGCAAGCACTGACCTCAGTTAGAACAAGTGTGGGCAGGTTGTGAGCCACCTCCTGTTTCCACAATGTTCTCTCCCTGCTTGACTTCCTAGTTTATGGGACGGTCAAGAAAGGGCCCCCAGAGCAGTAACTAGTCAGGGTGCTGAAAAGGGGGAGGTGGGCAGCCTTATCATCTGTCCCCTTCAGCTGTTCCCTCTCTCCCAACTTTATTTATTTATTTTTTTTTGAGATGGAGTCTCACTCTGTCATCCAGGATGGAGTGCAATGGCATGATCTCGGCTCACTGCAACCTCCACCTTCCGGGTTCAAGGAATATTCCTGCCTCAACCTCCCGAGTAGCTGGGATTACAGGCGTGTATCACCACGCCCAGCTAATTTTTGTATTTTTAGTAGAGAGGGGGTTTCACCATCTTGGCCAGGATGGACTCGATCTCTTGACCTTGTGATCCGCCCACCTTGGCCTCCCGAAGTGTTGGGATTACAGGCGTGAGCCACAACACCCAGCCCTCTCCCGACTTCTTCACTGGATGGGGAAGCAGTGTTCTGATGGTTGGGAGCATCAATCTGGGCTCACAATTCTACCACTTTCTACCTGTATGACCTCATAGAAATGTCATAACCTCTCTGAGCCTCTGTCTGCTCACCTGTAAAATGAAGATAATGATACCTCTTTCATGGGATCACTGAAAGGACTAACTGTACGAAGACTTGTAAAACACTTCCCTCGGTGCTTGTCGCAAAGGAAACACCCAGCCCATGGAAGCTGGGTCACTCTTGACTTCCCCTGCTGGCACCACTGAGTGGCTCTGAGTTTGGGAAAGGGATTTTCAGTGGCAAAGGGCATTTATTTCCCCCTGTTGAGGGGGTTGAAAGAAGTGATCTACATAGAGGTGAAGAGCACAAACTCTGCTGTTGCGGGACCCTGGCCAACTTATAACCTCTCTAGACCACATTTCCCTCATCTGTAAAACCAGAATTATAATCATGACTTTTAAGTAATGGAGCTACAACAAATGTCACATAAGTTCATGATCATAGAAGTGACTTACCTGTCCTCACCATCTCTACTTCCTCACCCTCAGTTCTCTCTTGAGATCACTGCAGACGGGCTTTTGTCCTCACACCCCACCATGTCCAGCTCACTAAGTCACCATGCTGCTGAATCCAGTGGTTACTTTTCAATCTCTGTCTTTGACACAGCTGATCGCTCCCTGCTTTTTTCCATGGGAGTTTAGTATACTACCATTCCTGGTTCTTCTCCTACAGCACTAGCCACTTCTCATCTCCTCAGCTGGCAACTCACCTTCCCAGCATTTATGTGTTGGAGGGCCCAGGCCTCACTCTTTGGCCTCTTCTTGTCTATGCTCACTCCTGGGTGATCTCCTCTGGTCCCATGGCTTTCGGACAAGTGTAGACACTGATGGCTCCTATAATTCTGTCTACAGTCCAGTCTTCCCTACTGAGTGCCCATTCCCAAAACCATGCTTCTTCAGCAGGGACATGCATGTCTAAAATATCTAATAAGCCTCTCGAATTCAACATGCCTAAAATAGGAAGTCTTCTTTGTGCCCTGATTTCATCCTACCAAAACTGCTTCCTCCATGGGCTTCCCCATTTCCAAGACTGGTACCAGTTGTTCCAGTGAGATAGCTGAGCGTATCCTTGATTCTTCTCTCCACATCACATCCAGTCCATCAGTAAGTTCTACTAGGGGACCAAGAATATATCCCACATCTGACCTCTTCTCACACTCCCATCAGGACTGTCCTAGTCCCAGCCCAGGCTCCTTTGTCTCTCCCCAGTCTCCTTAGATGGCCCTTGCCCATCTCCCACTTCCACACTTGCCCAACTATGGTCTGTCTGCCAGAGTGATCTCTTACAAAGAAAAATCAAGCATGCCGATCCCCTGTCAAAACTCTCCAGTAGCTTTCCATTACAATCAAACTAAAACAGAGACAGACGTACAGGACCCCATGTAATTATGCTACTTCCAGTGTTGCAGTTCTCACCATCTTCCTCCCTCCACTGCCCACGCAGCTTTAGCTGTGCCAGAGCTGAAGCATCCCACCCCAGCACTCCTGCGTTTGTGGTGTCTGCCTGGAGCTCTTTTTCTGTGCATTGTTACATGCTTGCTCCTTCATTTCCTTCGGCTCAGATATTACCACTTCAGAGGCCTCACCCAATTCCCTCATCTAAGTTAATCTCTTTTTCCTCAAGCTATCCTAACCTCTATGCTTATGTTTCTGTGGAGTACTCATCTCCACCTAAAGTTGTGTGTGCGTGCGTGTGCACGTGTGCATGTGCGCACGTGTGTGTGCGCGCGCACATTTGTTTGTTTATTATTCAAAGCCTTCACTAGGAGGTAAAGTCTGTGAAGAAGTGAACAGTGTCTTGTTTACAGCGGCATCTCCAGTGTCTAAAAAAGTACTAAGTACACAATAGGCACTCAAATATGTGTTAAATGAATTCATGATAATCACCTACTTCAAAGGGTCGATGTAAGAATTCGCGGCAGTGATGCTTGTGAAGCCCTTAGCATGGTGCGTGGCTCACAGTAGGACCCCGATAATGTTCGCTCTTACTATTATGTAACAAATCCTCTTAGAATGAGAATGCCTTTCACGTTTGACACAGCTACCACACCTTTCAGAAGGAGGTCCCCGCGGTCAGTTAGAGATCTTCTGGGCAAGGCCCCCATGGGGCTGCGTGTGCTGGGCCTCCAGTTCTAGGGGACCACAGTGCACCCCTTATCAGATGTTTGTGTTTAGACTCTGAAGGGGGCAAATAACTCCAGTTCCTTTGACAACATTTTGGGCTCTGCCACCATTTTATTATGTGAGCAAACATTTGATAGCTGGGAAGCCCATCCCTAATGACAGGTCATAGAATCTCACTGGCGTCTCCTTATCTGCCCTTCTTGTTTGCTCTTCTATTGAAACCTGCAAGGTCACAAGCCATTTTCTCTCTCCTCCACCTGAAATCTGAAAATTGGAAAAAGGCTGATAGTGGGAAGTAAAGAGACTCGAGAGTGGGGGGAGGAAGAGGAGGCAAAGGGTATCAGAGGACCCTGACCAATGTCTCAAGAATGTAGAAGGGTCAGAAGCCTGTCTCCTCACGTGCACGCACTGCTCGGCCCCACTCTTTTTTTGTTGTTTTGAGACAGAGTCTCGCTCTGTTGCCCAGGCTGGAAATGCAATGGCATGATCTTGTTTCACAACAGGGTTCAAGGGATTCTCCTGCCTCAGCTTCCCAAGTAGCTGGGATTATAGGCATGCGTCACCGTGCCCAGCTAATTTTTGTATTTTTAGTAGAGACTGGGTTTCACTACATTGGTCAGGCTGGTCCCAAACTCCTGACCTCGTGATTGACCAGCTCTGGCCTCCCAAAGTGCTGGGATTACAGTCGTGAGTCACCGCACCCGGCCTGCAGCCCCACTCTTAAGAGCACTGAGGAGCAGCATGGGCTGAAGAACCCCATGTTCATAACAATTGTGCCAAGGACCACTCTCAGGACTCCATAGGTGTCAACTCATCCAATCCCACAGCAACTCCCATTCTATAGGGGAAGAAACTGAGGCACAGAGACAGTAACTTGTCAAAGAGAACAAAGCCTAGTAGAAGGCTCCTCACCTCCTAGCATGATAGAAAGCGCACACTCTGAGTGACCACCTACACAGCTAGTTTGAAGCTGTGCTCCACACTCTCCTAGTTCTTAAACCTTGGACGATTCACTGACTCACTTTGAGCCTTGTTTTCCTGATCTGCCAAATAGCATAATGGTATCCTCATATAGGGTCATCGTTGGAGCACTGATCAAGGAGGTAACAGTGGCCTTTAGCAGTGTTGGTAGGTGTTGGGGTGTGTGTGTTTGTGTGTGTGTTTGGGGGGGATCTTAAGATAATAAGCCACTAAGTCAAAGGCAGAACCTTAGATATCAACAAAAGCAAAAAGGAAAGAGGAGACAGAGGGAGGCAAAAAGAGACTCTCCAGAAGTTAAAAGGAGAGCAATGACGCTCCATGACATTTCAAATGAATAAGGCCCAGGTACTGAGGGCGAAGTGGGTGAGGTGGCTCCTCCTGAGGCCTTATCCAGCCATTCTGGGGTCTCCTGCCCTGGCTCATCCTCAAGGATGGCCTCAGAGGCCTTCAGCCTTTGGATCCTTTCCCTGGTCCTATGAATTTCTTAGCCCAAAGTAAGAAACTCATAGAAAGCACTTTGCCATTTGCAAAACTCCTTTCCTGATGAGTGGTGTGAGTGGTCAGTTTCTCGTGTGTTTTCTGGCCTTGCCGCCCTAGTGAGCAGCATTGGCACACCCTGGGAACTTATTAGAAATGTAGACTTGACCGGGCGCAGTGGCTCACACCTATAATCCCAGCACTTTGGGGGGCCGAGGCAGGTGGATCACGAGGTCAAGAGATCAAGACCATCCTGGTCAACAAGGTGAAACCCCATCTCTACTAAAAATACAAATATTAGCTGGGCATGGTGGTACTTACCTGTAGTCCCAGTGACTCGGGAGGCTGAGGCAGGAGAATTGCTTGAACCCAGGATGCAGAGGTTGCGGTGAGCCGAGATCGTGCCATTGCACTCCAATCTGGGTAACAACAGCAAAACTCCATCTCAAAAAAAAAAAAGAAAGAAAGAAAGAAATGCAGACTCTTAGGCCCACCCCAGGCCTATAAATCAGAATTGAACCAGAATCCACATTTTAACAGGCTCTCTGGTACTTGTGAGTCCATTAAAGTTTGAGAAGCATTAGCACAGGAGACCTCTGCTCTTAGAGGTCTTAGGAAGAGACCCTTGCTTCCACGAGAGGCAAGAGCTCATCATCCAGCTGCCTTTTCAAGCACACTGAGCACTCCATAAATTCCACTGTCACAGAAAGAGGAGCCCAACTTCAGGATTCAGGTCAGCAAGTTAGGACAATTTCAAGGTCCCCAACGATTCGCTTCTGTCTTCTGAAGTGGCCAGGAAAGCCGGCTCTCAGGTTTTCCTGCAGGAAGTGTGCCTCAGGATGAAAACTGCAGAACTGAGCATACACAAGGCCCCCAGCCCTCCACCTGCTGCTCTTTGCTGGTTGAGTTGGGCATCAACTCCCTTGGAGAAGCCAAACTAATGGCCCATGTCCCTGCCAAATGACACAGCTGAGCATTATCCCTCCTCTCTCTCTGCAGTGTCCTCTGCAAGCCTGGTGATGCCCACACATCACTCACTCTGTGCACAGCAACAAGGACCCTGTTTTCCCCACCATCACCCTCTGGGCAGCTGCCATGGAAAAGCCCAGTGACCTGACAAGCACCTGCGAGAGGTCCCTGCTTACCTGACGGGCGTCCTGCTGACACCTCAGACAATCCACTCTCAGGAGGCGCAGCCCAAAGCCCAGCTTCCCTTCTATGCAGTATTGCCACGATGCCTCTCAATGTCAAGGACTCCTGTCTGTCCTGGAGGTGGGAGACAAGGAACTGCTGAAGAGGAAGCAAGAAAGCCGTTGTTTCTACGTTGTGATCCTTCATCGAACAAACTGATGCAAAAACTTGAATCTGTTACTGAAACGAGGAGAGGAGGACGCGTGCTATTGAACTGAGCCAAACACACTGTAAATATCCAAAGACTCCCTCCCCCACCCCATCCCAAATGATCTTGAGATTTCTTTTAAAGAAGTAAATTTGTCCAATGGCTGTAAACTATAAACTACTATAATCAAGTGCAATTTCCCCTCCGTGTCCTCTCCCCTCTGCCCTGTACATAATACTAAACTATTAGTTTTCTTTGTGAAGGTCAGAGTCAAACTTTCAAAAGTGATCTGTCCCCTCTTTTCCCTCATGGAGAAACACCCTAAGTGGGAAGTGAAGCCCCTTGTCCCCTCCCTCAGGCCTGGACACTCACAGGGATGAAATACCTTAAACTGACTACCAGCTAACTTCAGTCTCCTGACATTAAGGCACACCTCTGGATCTCTGGAGGGGCTCAACGTAGTGTGTCAGAGTAACATGCTAGCTTTCTGTGGGGTGGGAGTTCAGCCGTGCACTCCCTAAGAAACCCCAGGGCAGGGAAACTATTTCATAGTAAAAGAAAAAGTTGCAGTCTCAGAACGCCTTCCATTAAAATGATTTATTTTATCATTGCCCAGAGTCACATATTTCTGTCTTTGATACTTTTCCTGCCATGGTTCCACCATGAACCCATGGCCCCTGGTCTCTTTGGAGTTTTCTGTGTACTCTGCTGGGATCACTAAGTGTGTCATCTAGGGGTGTAGAGAGGCAGGTGGCCTTCTCTTGCTGTCAGGTTCCCAGTGTCTTCATGTAGGCTTTACTGCTAATTGAGGTAAAGGAGAATTGATTCCCCAGTAAAACTCCCCAAGTCACTCAGAAGGAATCTGGCCAGAGCAGAAGCTAGCACCCTTTTCTTCCCTGCAACTCACAGGGATAAAATCGTAGAGTCAATTCTTGGTGGGTGACCTGTGTGATAGAAACAGACAAAAAGTAGGATGAAGGCCAGACACGGTGGCTCACACCTGTAATCCCAGCACTTCGGGAGGCCGAGGCGGGTGGATCACGAGGTCAAGAGATCAAGACCATCCTGGTCAACATGGTGAAACTGCATCTCTACTAAAAATACAAAAAATTAGCTGGGCATGGTGGCATGTGCCTGTAATCCCAGCTACTCGGGAGGCTGAGGCAGGAGAATTGCCTGAACCCAGGAGGCGGAGGTTGCGGTGAGCCGAGATCGCGCCGTTGCACTCCAGCCTGGGTAACAAGAGCGAAACTCTGTCTCAAAAAAAAAAAAAAAAAAAAAAAAAAAAGTAGGATGAATGACAACCCAGTGAGTAAATTTTTTAACCTCATTTAAAGCATTAACTCCAGACTTTCTTCCGGCCCTCCTTTTCCTTCCCTGGGGCTGTCAGTCACTAAGAGAATGGGCTCTTGTGGATGTCACCTCTTGCCCAAGATTCTGTCTCTGGTAGGGATACTAAGGAATACAAATAGTCCAAACAGTAAAAAACCAAAGGCCCAGAAACTCCACCAGCAGGGACTTTGCCACAAATAATTCAGTGCTGACTCCAGGAGAAAGGAAGATGGACCTGTCTTCTTTGCTGTTTCCTCTTTTGCCAAACAGCATAAGGCCTAATGGCCTGTGGTTTTTCGCTTTTAGGCACAGCATGTCCCAATGAAAGTGAAAGCAAAGATTGTGCTAACCAGACTGTGAGTGATAGATTTTTTCAAAATTCCATTGTAGTAGGAGATTCAATCCTCAGTGAACTGGGCGGATTTACTGAGTACCTACTATGTTCCCAGAGCAGGAGTGGGTAGATTTGGAAATACTGACTTTAACTGATTTCTGGCTCCCCTAACGATGTAATTTGGACTGAAACAGTCAAGAGAGAAGTTCATGACTGGGTTGAGGTGGCTGAGGACAAGAGCAAGCACTGCATGTGGAAAGAGGCCAGGATCCCCTTTCATGAGTTGAGATGTCCTGTTGGATGGTTCCTGTGAGCTCTTGGAAGAGGAAAGGAACATAGGCCTCAAGCTCCAGCCCCAGTTGAAGCCCTATATCTGGATTCGTGTTGTTTCTGGAACAGCAAGCGTCTGCTTTTGGTAGATTTTAAGATCTTGCATTGTTGTAATAACCCTGAAAAGCCAGAAGGTCATATTTACCTAACAAGTCATCTGGGCAAAGGTGTAGATGGAAGACAGGGAGGATGGGTGTAGTTGGGGCCTATCTCTAGAGACTTTTTCTAGCCAAATCCTATTTGAACCAAGATATGCAGACAATTGACCCTGGCAACTGAGAGCCCCAAGGATGGTTAGCTCCACCTTTCCAAATCAAACAAGGACTTCCCTCCACTGGCTATACAAAGACCAAGGGGAATCACATATTCTGAAGATTCGTTAGCAAGCTTCAACCCCCATATCTTCCTCCCAGCACCTGATGGAACAACAATCTCCAGAGTGTCTCTTCATGCCCTGAGCCCAGGCTTATAGAGAGATGGTTCCATTTTTATCACAGCAGGCTGTCACTTTCTAGGCTTAGCCTAGGGAAAGGCAAATTTCACTTTAACATCCATGGACAGGAAATAAAATCAGCACTGAAAACCTGCCTGAACCTGTATTAAACTTTTCAATGCTAAGCAGTTATGGGATAGTCCCCCAACAGCAGAGACAATGCAGTGTCAGCTGCTGAATTCAGGTAGATAAGAAAGAATACAATGCAGACAGTCAGGGAATCTGAGCTCTTGGCCCACAGTTGGGGGCAAGTCTTCGAATTATCTTTGAAGCCAGAATTCCTTGATTAGAATCTCCAACTCCACCATTTACGTCTCTGGTCCTCAGTGTCCTGCTATGTGAAACTGGGATGATAATGGTAGCACCTACTTTATGAGGTTGTTTGAGAAGTAACAGGGTTAATATATGTTAAACACTTAGAACTGGATATGCAATGGGTATTGTGTGATACTAATCATCTCATCCCAGAGCGCCTTCTCCTGTAGTCTTGTGTCGTCTTCGGGGCTTGGTTGATATTTCCAAATAACTTCATCACCAACTTGATGTCTGGTTAAAAAAAAAAAAAAAAAAGCACCAATAATTAGTCAAATGTTGTTGCTCATTTCTATGGTATATGGCAAATCTAAGTGGTAAACCAAGGCTGAGTCGGGAAGGGGAGACCTGAGGAGAAGGGAAAGGCTTAACTAGGGAGAGTCTTTGTCCTCCTTAAGAAAAGAAGGAGCTAAAATGTGATGAGCTTACATGAATGGGAGGGAGGGCCATAGAGAGCACCAGGAAGACAGAACTAAAACTGGCTTTGTGTTCTAAAAAGTGGGTTGGGGATCATGGAGGAGGAGCCCAGTGAGCAAGGAAGAGTGAGGGTCAGGAAGAGGTAGAAGCTAACTTCTGCCCAAGAAAAACCAGGGTCGGTGTGCCCCCTTTGACTTATGAATTAATTCAAACACGCCATCCAAAGCTGCTCTGGAAAATGAGATATGACATATCCACATCTTAACACTTCAAAAATATCCCAATAACATCACACAGGCTGAATGTTTATGAGAAATTGCAACCAGCTGAACCAAGAGCCTATTAGGTCCCTCCTCCCTACCCCCTCCCCTTCCTCTTCTGAGTGCAGAGGTCACTCTGGCTGGACAAATACTGGATTGTCTGCCGAGATTTATAACATGACCATTTTACAAATGAATCTTCAGAGTGTGCAGGACTTTGCACGTGCCTGGATGAATATTTCTTTTCCCTGGGTGCATGCCTATAGAGAAAACACTTTCTAAGGGAGAGACCACAAAGCAAATACGAGGGGGACAACATCAAAAGCAGAAGACACCAAAGCAGGCTTCACACGATCTGCATATATACATTTATGCCAACAGGTCACGCAACACGAAAACAACATGTTTCTTTGCCCCATCTGTTATTTTTTCACCAGATACACACTGTTATATTCCCCAAAGAAAGATTTCTTTCCTGTGCCATACTGTCTTGACATCATTAATGAACTGATTTATTAAATTTTCCCTAATTAATCATGAAGGTTGAAGGTAATACATGAATAAAGCTAATTTTTTTAAAAGGCCAAAAAATTCCAGTATACCGAAAACATGTCTGATTTCCTGAGCTGCTATTACAAGATCTTCTGTGTATAACTTTGCTTTTGGAAACATAAAATCCAAAATGATATTTCCCTTTTATTTATTCAAGAAATACTGGCATTTGCTGCCTGTCGGGCACTATCATTCTAGACACTGGAGATATGTCAGTAGACAAAACAGATAAAAATCATTACCTTCATGAAGCTTACATTCTAGTCAGGGAGATAGCAAATAAATGTATGAATATATGTATGTGTATGTACGTGTGTCAGATGATTTTTTAAAATATATGCAAATTAGAGCAGGCAAAGGAGATACTGGGAGTGGGCTAGCCATTTATTTTTATTATTTATTTTTAATTTTTTTGAGATAGAGTCTCACTCTGTTGCCCAGGCTGGAGTGCAGTGGTGCAATGTCAGCTCACTGTAACTTCTGCCTCCTAGGTTCAAGCAATTCAAGCAATTATCCTGCCTCAGCCTCCCAAGTAGCTGAGACTACAGGCACATGCCACCACACCCAGCTAATTTCTGTATTTTTAGTAGAGATGGGGTTTCACTATATTGGCCAGGCTGGTCTGGAACTCCTGACCAAAGGTGATCCACCTGCCTCGGCTTCCCGAAGTGCTGAGATTACAAGTGTCAGCCACCACGCCCATCCTGGCAGTCATTTTAAACAGTATGTTCAAGGAAGAAGAGAGTGGCCACTAAGAACATGATGTCTGAGAGTCCTAAGTTTGCTGAGTGAGCCATGTGGACATCTGGGAGGAGAGCATTCCAGGCAGAGATAACAGCAGTGCAAAGGCCCTGAGGCAGGAACAGAAATGCATAGCAGAGCAGCTAGAGGGAAAGTTCTGGGTCA